TGTAAAGCCAAGGATGCAAGCGTATTATAAAGCGCAGAGGTATTAGCTGGAATGTTCAGGGATTCAGCAAGGGGCAAAGCGTTATTGAGGACAGATCCACAGAGGTGAGGCAGCCACACTCACTAAGCCTGGCACCACTGCTGTTGTCATGACTTCTTCCATAACTTCGACCACTTCTCCCGCCGGCGTTGTGGCTTCTTCCTCAAGTGGTATTATCACTAGATCTGGTGGTTCAAGCGTGGGCTCTGACACCGGCAACACCACAGTTCTTTCTTTTACCGTAGTAGAAGGTACTGTAGTAGTAGTGGTGGTGGTGGTAGTTGTAGTAGAGGTCGTAGTAGAGGGGGTAGTTGTTGTGGTGGTAGTGGTGGGAGTAGTGGTGGTCGTTGTTGATGTTGTGGCGGTTGTGGTGGACATGGTGGTAGTGGAGCTTGAGCTCGTAGAGGGTACGGTAGGCTAGAATTCGTCCTGATGAGCCTCAATTGTCTGAACCTAGAGTGAGAATTGGAAAAATCTGATACCTCTGCTTCCGTGGGTGCTATGGTGGTAGTCATTGCAGTAGTGGTCGTGATTGCAAGATTTGCAGGAGCCTGAAATTACATGCGTACTGGAGGAGCAACTGAAAAAACTGTTGGATTCAAGCAAAAAAGTGAACCTTAACGCCGCTTCCCAAGTTTTTTAATACTACAAGGACTGAAAAACTGAATAATTCGTTTTTTCGATACCTTCAGTCTTCAGCAGTTTTCGATCAACTGACAAGGGGCCTGTGTTGCGCACCTTGAGTCATAACCTGATCGCATATGGCCCAAAAAGATAGGACGTACTAACTCTTTCTTATCTTCTTTAATAACCCAGAGAGTCAGGTATCGCATCTACCTGACCCTCTGGGTGAAGCTAGAAGAATAAAGAGAGCTAAATAATTTCCCACGTGATCAATATTTGGAAAAAATTCCAAATTTCTGCTTCTTCTAATTCGTTCTCATAAAGAAAAGAAAGGAGACAACGATTAAAAAAGATAAAGTATTCGGCGTTGATAATCCAACTTTGGGATGCGCCACGCAGTCCATTTCCATCCAAAATCGCAGTGGTAATTTGAGTACGAGTTCACCTACACAATGGTTTGCGGGAGCCAGTGTTTTCCCAAACAAGTCTGGTACCATTTATCCGCACTACGCGAAATGGAGTGGTTCGCTGGGAACCACGGACCGCGCACGTAGTAAGCACCATTACTTCTCACCCCATCACATCCGCTTTGAGAAAAAGTATGAAGAAATTTTCTAACCGAGTCAAGACTTGCTCATAGTTGAGGACAGCCCAATAGTACGTTTTCATTCCACAGATGGTTTGTCAAGGTGATATTGATCTTCTGTATTGAAGGTACCTTGCTTTCCGTATTTCTCGCGCCTCTTCGTCGTACAGCCTCTCGTAAACTCAAATTCGCTAGATTTTTGCTGTTCAACCCAACTGTAGGAGGGGCTTCTGGCAAGGCACCCTGGACTGATAGCTCCACGTACTATCACTCTACACAAATTCTGCTGAATAAGGACCCTATCGCTTATTTCACGATCAGCTGGGTGTGTTACTTGCCCATTTCACATCAGCTGGGTGTAAAAAAACTTGCCCATGATGATGAAAATAGGGGTACCACGAAGACAAGGAGCACAGCTTTTACTATTATATTTTAAGACTACCTGGATCTTACGAAGGGTTTTCCAGTAACAACAGCACCATATGCTTCCATGTATTCATAGGAACAATTTTAAGTAACAAAAGCCCCACCTCACGAGTCGTCGACGCTGTTTCAGTCGTTGTTGCCAGTGTGGTTTTCACGAGATCGGCAGCCAAAGAACAACCCGTCAGCGAGACTTCGTGGATTTTAGCCTACAACGAGGTCGATTTGACATTAAGAAACTTCAAAATGTGGCCAATAAAATGGAAGACTCGGCTCTGTAGTCACCTTCGCGAAATCCAACAGCTCTCCGTTGTACGACACATCACCAACGCATCCGACGAATGAAGCGGAATCGTGGCGTCCGAAAAGAATCTTCGCCATTTCGCCCGCCACCTGAGATGAGGGAAAATCATGAAATCAAAAAAAATCTACAACGACATTGACTTTGACTTAAATCAGGCCACACTTTTGCATAGAATCTGCTGCAGTCGCTTTCGCAATCAAATTCTCGCTCTCACTGCAACTAGCCAAAAAGGCACAATCATAGCCTATCGACCTCATCAAGCACAACTAGCATACAGATCTGACAATCATGGATGGATCTGGTCATTCACTACCAAACAGGTTATGTGAGACACTTACTAGTTACCACTTCAGTACAGAGCAGTATTAATGCAGTATAAACACATGTTAAAGCAGTAGTAGTCATAGCGACACACGGTAAAACTTACCGCTGAACGACGTTCCCGCTGTAATTGGACAAAACAATCGTCAATGCAATTGAAAAAAGGTAAAGCTATGAAATACTACACGAAAATAAACAGGGAATGCGCCATGCACTCCGATCCCAATCACTACTGTGAAAAAATGTGACCGGAAACTTTGTAAGTTGGTGCTTTCGGACAAACTCGGTGCCATACAACCAACCAACTCGATTGAGGTGAGAGGCTAGGCGTTAGTCCGAGTGATGGATTGAACCAGTGGCCATGAACACGCGAGAAGAATACTCTTGTCATTGTGCTACACATG